CCCATATTGCTATTCGATCACATGAAAGATCAACGATCGTGTGGCTCATAGTGCATTTATGTGTGTTAATAAATTCAATCCAAGTAAAAGTCAAGAAAAACTATTTAGAGATTTATCCGTTGGCTCTAATCATGGTTAACATCTTCTTTGAACAAAATAAAATTTGGTATATTGTAATACAATGTAGGAATTGCGTTTAGGAGAAGTGTGGCAATAAACAATCGCGGACCAAAATATAAAAGTTTAATGACAGACTATCGCCCGGACAAGTGTTCACGACATATAAGCTATTCCACTGTTGTTTTTATTAAGATAATCCTTGCAAGTAAAGTACTACGATAAAGACTTAAGCGACACCAACGTTAACATGTGAAATACTTAAGACACATTACGATCCGAATATATTGATAGCTCCGAAAACACACATAAGTGAGTCAAAACAAGGTGCTTAAATTATAGACTTTAATTTGTTTAACGTGACACTCTGTACCTAAACTAAACAACGTAGTGCAAATAGAAATGTATTTGTTCACACGAGCAAAATAAATACGTTTACACTGCAGTAAATAATGGTGAAATCAGTTTATACATCGGTCATCCTAGAGACCAGAGAGATTACATTGAATGGTGATACTCATCCCGTCACTCTTGCATCACCATTAGGAACACAGTTTAAAACGGCAGGGTCGTCACCTGCGCACACGCGGGAATTGAGCACCCAAACGACGATAACATCATACGCTAAAAACGCAAAGGCTCATGAGTAGACGCTTGTTTGTAAACAATGACACGCTATGGCCATCGGACGCATGCTCAGGTGACGACTCCCCCGCTTTAATACACTAGATACAATTTGACTCAAAGTTGAGTTTCTCAGAGTGATAATGTTGTGCGATAGTGTATTTCTGTAGGCGGAAGTATTTCTGTTTTTCTACTAATCGAAAAAGACAGAAGCAATCCTTTGTTGGTTACACTGTCACAATATATTTAGCAAAGCTCACTAATGATAAAGAATAAAGCGAGTTACCATCATTTGTAAACTCACTGCGGCCGTGATGGCTCAATTGTTGTTGTCAGGTCTTTTTTATGGATATTATGAGTAACCCTAATTTAGGTTAGTTAGATTTTCTTGGACTAGTAGACTAATGCATTCTAATTCGAGATGCATTATTTGCATTGAGTACCTTATATACATGCGTGTATGTGTATAACCGCACGAGGAACAACGGGGATGTTACAAAAACTTTGTTTGTCATTGTCTCACTATTTTATTAAAACTATTTTATCAATTATACAAGATTGATAAGTATTACAAATTGCAGAATGAATAATAGTGTGGGCAAGTAAGATATCGAAAATAAAATATAACAATGTTAACATTAAATAATAATTATATGTGATCGAAGACAGTGAAAAGATAAAAATATATAATGCCCCTCAAAAAAAACACAAATAAAAGGTCGATACTAGACGTGAAACTATTGTTGTAGAGTAGTTAAATGCGACCGCAGCGCATGTTGGAGGTGATATATTCTCAATTGACCTAAAAATAATTGAATAAAATCGGAATAGAGTAGTAGTATTTCAATCAGACGAACCGAAATGCAATACTACGGGTACATTAGTGCTATATATGATGTATGTGTAAATTAGACGGCTATGCATACTAGTATTGGAAATCCATTTCAGAATAGACACCCAGTAGTAACAATATAATATTTAAAATCATGTCAGAAAACTTTAGTGCAGTGGATCACGTTATAATCTGTAGATGTTACGAGGTTAGATTGTGTAGATTCCTAACACTGTCTACGGTGTTATGTTATTGTAAGCAATATCATTGTACATCTAAGCGTTTACGGCAATTTGAAGAGCCGTTCAAATGTTGATCAAACATACAAACTGCGAATGATTAGCGTGTAACATAGCGCCCTGGCCGACAGACTCGCCCGTGTGCGTCTGAGTATGTCCGCCGATGGGGCGCAGTGATACGGAAATTAACTCCAGTCGTACCAGTAGGGCTGCTAAAATTATGGCTCACGCCAGTTGCGGATCCAGAGGGGGGCGAGGCATGCCCCCCC